TTCAGAAATTTACTGGATCTATGATTTGTTAATACACTGAAATTCTTACACAGCCCTTCCACATATACAACAAAATTGAGAAAATTATAGGAGTGATATAGCATAATAATGAGAAAGATTATATAATTTTATAGTAACCATAGTCACAAAGCAGTTTTACAGAAATCCATGTCCAAGCCCCTAATGAGCAAGCCAAGCCGTCGACAGTGGCATCAGTGTTCATCCTGCCCTGCCTTGCCCTTGTCTTTGTCTGTTTCCTTTCTTGTTTACCTGCACTGCTCTTGACACATTCACTGCACCTGTGTCTTGTCAGTAGCCCCACCCTGTAATTAATGCAAAGTATTCCGTGTTTGTCTTCTCTAGTATTTACACCCCATGTTTCTATGTTGTTTTGAGCTTGGTATTGTCTCAGCTTGAGCAGTGTGTTTGTTACCTTGCACTAGTATGTACCCCTGCACATTTACTGTTAGCTTTGTCAGGTTTGTTTTTCTTCTTTGGCTAGTTAGCCTTCTAGCCCTGCCGGGTCTTATTTTCTTTTGTTTATGGTTCTCTCAGTGTAGTTTCTAGTCTAGTTTTTTTGTTTGTTTCTTGTCAGGGGTTATCATTCTCACTCTGTGTGAACTCTATTACACCAAACCACTTGCACTTCATGCCTCCTTGGTTACAATGAGCAACAAACCTCGAGAGGAACTCAAAAGGAGAATCCATCCTCCTCTTCTCAGCATCATGACAAAAATGTGTAAATTAGTATGTAAATCAGGAAAACAATGTTAGAAGAAATACAGTTGTCAGCACAGCATTTGACTTCTATCCCATGTCAGTGGATTAGGTATATAGGATGCCTTTGGCCTGGGGTTAGACACTATCGGTCATGATTTAGTTGCTGCACTGCCCACAGCCAGATGCAGTTTGTGTGTGGAGTCAGCTGGTTTGCAAGAGGGACAGCGTCAATCTTGATGGCTACAGCTCTGCACAGTTTATTCCTATCCCTGAATTTGCATGGAAACCTCTTTGTATGATTGATACACAGATGCTCAGATGCTTTTGTTTGTTTGTTTGTTTTGTTTTGCCAGACTGCACAGCTCACCAAAATTAGTCATCGGTCTACCCAACTGGTGGGCTGATTAATTGACTGACTACTAATTGAGCAACTGCCTGACCAGTGACTGGTTGACTGACTGGCTGAACCCACATGGCTGTCTAATTGACTAGTTTACTGTTCAGCCTACTAACTGCTATTCATTTGCTGTGGCTACAATATTTGTAAAAAAGAAAAAAAAATGAACACTGAAAAACAACAATAAGTGACTAGTTGCTACACAGAGGGTCCATGTTCCTCTTCTAATCACTCCATAGGTAGCTAGTTATAAGGATTTAACAGTCGCATCCTTCTTTGAAGAGCCAATTTCCTACATTTTTGTGTTTTATTTTTTTCATCTGAGATCCACCTATAACATTTGTGTGGTTTTACCTACTTTAAAATAAACAGGCTGTTTTAACTGTGCCTTTAAGACTGATATATGCAAATGTAAAAGCTCTGTTCTAATTGGCTGTACTGTATTGTGCCTTATTCGAAAACTACTCCGAGCTGTGCTCCTTAGAATTTTGAGTTGGTGGGGTTAAACTGCTATAGGCCTTAACAGGTGAATAAATGTAAATGAGTTGGTTCCAGTGAAATCACAGAAACAGTGAATTCCTAACAGGCTGGTTTTTGCAGCTTAGTTTCCATTAATAGACTGTACAGACTGAGGCGTGAATGGTACATTCTGGTCCTGCAGCTGAAATGTACCATGGAGTGGTTACACCTACTTTCCTTGGTTGGGTGCTTAAGCTTTTTTTTGGAATTGCTCTGGTGTTACAGGTCCAGGGAATGTTAGCAGGTTTCTGCACACTGGAAACTGACTCGGCAAACACTTCTCACTGTCACTTCATCCACACTGTTTGCTCTGTGGCTTCTCTTGTGCTTCCTGAGGTCAGTAATGGGCCTGCCTGTGGCACCACTTTGTCACCTTTGAGCTTCATTTACACACTTTCAGCACTTTGCATTTGCTTATAAACAGGTGATTGTCAGTTACATGCATCACAATGTATTGTCTCCAATAAAGAATTAGTTCTCCTCTAGTTAACAGACACCTTAAGGGACTTTGTTTAGGTTTTACGGAAGTGATAAAGGATTCCAAAATGCACATTAACCTGCAATATCCATGTAAGAAGACTGCAGTAAGAAGGCAATCTGGTTGTTAGTGAGTGGTGGGGGGTGCAGTGTGAGACAGTTGGACATGGCAGCCCACTGTCTGCCTGCTCTCATCAGCCAACTGCCAACAGGAAGCCTCCCAAACAGACAGAGCGTGACCACTGCTGTGTCAGCAATCCCAGCCCTTAGAGAGCTCACACACACGCACACACACACACACACACACACACATACACACACACACACATTGTACGTCACACACATATATACATATATAGTACACACCAGATAGGCCTATGTTTCTCTCTCACACACATACTTAGTTATAGGTAGAGGTTATGACAGCGGTGAAGTTATAGCTTTGAACTGATTACAAATTTTGCAATCCCCTGATTTTCATTTCTTTGAACTCCTTTGATACAAGTTCAATAGAGAGAGCATAAAGAACATCTAAATAATTTAAACTAATTGCTATCACTCATCAGTCCAGGAGGAGTTGTTTAGACTTCAAAGCAAGCAACTATTTTTACAGAGGCCCTAAAGAGCCATGGATTCACATTTTTTTAGTTCAGTTTATGAGATTATTGAGATTTCAAGATCTTGAGATATTTATGACATCCTCATGACATAATGAATATTACTTCAATACAACAGTGTTCATTATGTTGTAATAATATATATATATATTTATATAGATATAATATATAGATATAAATAACTTGAGATCTTGCGCGAGCAAAACATTTGAGATCTTGTGTGAGCAAAACATGGCAAAACATTTGTTTTGCCATGATCATGACAAATATCACAAGATCTCGAGAAAACAAATGAAAATAACACAATAGCACAAAAAACATGCAAATCCATGGCCCATGGCTTTTGTAATGTCTCTGTTCATCATTCTCATAGTGATGGCAGGATATTGCTTTTCTTTTTTGATACCAACAAGGCAGAATTAATTGAAAAAGTATTGATGCCTGAGTACTGAATACACTGTTGCAAATGTAGTAAATAACATATCGTCACTGTCACAAAAAATGATGAACAGACCAATAGAAATGATCCATAATTGCTTGGAATGAAATTCTGCTTTCTCCTGTAATGTTGCCATTTTGGAGCTACTTGTTTTTTTTTTATTATTTATTTATTTTTTGTTTGTTTTTAATAGCAACAATATTTGATTACACTACATAAAAAGTAACGTTCAGAATACATTTAGAACACTAATACAGCAGATGGGGAAAAAACTCTTCTGTTGTAATTTATATTTTGTTTGCACTGTTCCTCGCTGGTATTGGTTGGCAGTTTTTTTTCATATAATTCTTCTACTAATACGTTTCATAATTAATTCACTTATTAAAATTAAATTTCAACAATCTCATGAACTAAGCACAAAATTCACCCTATCTTAATAATGAAATCAAGCTAATTTTACTATAAAGTGGGCAGCTATGTGAATTTCAGTTATTGACATAAGTAACTTGCCAAGAAACACCTGCACCAGAGTCCAGTACAACATCGATGCTAAGGTCACATGTTCCCTACTGAGGAGTTCTCATCCCTCAAAAGAGTAGAGTAACACTGAGATTAATAACTGATCACATTGATTTATCAGTCTACTCAGGCTTTAGCAGAGCTCAGTAACACTGAGATTAATAACTGATCATGTTGATTTATCAGTCTACTCAGGCTTTAGCAGAGCTCAGTAACACTGAGATTAATAACTGATCATCACCTTGATTTATCAGTCAACTCAGGCAAAGCTGCTTTTTTAGTTCTTCTTTGAGTACCTCTTTATACATGGAGCAATGAAATAAAATAGCTAATGAACAAACATTGATGGTGTTTCTTTTAAAGATGTTTTATAAATACATGGATTTAATGGGTACGTATTCTCCTAAAAATTTAGGAAAAGGTAACGTATTCTGAATATTGCCTTCACAAAATGCAACCTGGACAGAAGACAGATAATTTCAGTACTATGAAAGCTTTAACATGACATTTTAAACAAAGCACTTTACTGAAGATGAACATTTTAAAGTAGGACATCATGCTCAACTGACTCAAAACACCCTACTATCCCACAGGAGGAAACACAGAGCTAACAACATCACATCACACAGGGTGAGTAAGTGCTATTTTAGGATAGATTTATTACAGGATTTACAGGATTGGATCATGTTCATCCTTTCTTACTCACAATATCCACTCCAGTGTTTCCTGTTGATATCGGCCCCAGTGCTGATATGCATCAATACTGATATGCCATCTGTACTTTCTTTCCATTACTATAAGAGTTTGTAGTTGAAATGGGGACAAATTGCCACAGTGTAATTTAGTGGTTTACAAAGATTTTAAATGGACTTTTATTTTACATCTTACTTTAAAATTTTAGTCATATTATCAAAAATACACTGCAGTGATTTCTCAAGGCAGTAACAGTAAGCTCAGTACCTACTTATATTAGTTTAGTCATTAAGCCAAACAAGTTTGAACTTGTTCAAAGGATTCTCTCACAGCTGGTGACAGATCCTCTTAAGGAAGATGTTATTTTAGGCTGACAAGAAATGATCAGCTGTGCATTGCCGTGTTTGTGGATGAGCCTATTAGTGAAGAGAAGATTTTGTACAGTGCATTAGAAACATGCTACTTCAGCTGGTTTTAACAGAATACATTTATGGCTATGTGAAAAGAAAATTAAAAATCCTAAAGAAGACTATATTTATAAGCTAGAAAACTAACAAAATGCTTTAAACAAGCTGCCAAGAAGTTGAAATAAAGAGAAATAACAGAGAAATAAACAGTGTAAAATGTATCCAACAGTTTTATTGAAATGTTAACAATTGTGTTGTTAACTATGTGATTGCCATGCAAAACACAAACAGTGGAAACAGTTTCACCTGAGTAGACCCCATTTCATTCCATGACAAGCAAAAACACAGACCTGTACTGTAAAGGCTTCCAGTGCCATAGGGGAGTATCAAAAACAAAGCCTTAAAAAAGTCATTTTCACAGAGAGAACCATCACAAAAATCAGTCTGAATTCAGAGTCCAGCACCATATTAGGAACATCCTTCAGCAAATAAGATCACGCTTTTATTTATCTGAATTTAAAGACATTTTCTTAAGTACCATTTCAATGTTTTTTAACACGCCTTTGCCAACCTTGTCGCCACTTGGTGTTTGCCACACCTACGTTACACACTGTCCCAAGGAGGGGACAGTAAGGAGCAGAACACATTTGCTCTCGGCTAGGTTAGCCTCAGTGGGCAAATTAGCTTGCCATTACAAGCTTTGCATATAATATATATAAAATTGAACAATTTGTTTTGTCTGGTTGTAAGCCTTGGTTTAGAAGCATTATTGCATTTATTTTTTGTTGCCTTTATTTTGTTGTTGCTAGCTGTGTAGCCTTTAGCTTGCTAACTAGGAAGCTAGTAAAGTAATGAAGTTGTTTGAGCAGTCATGCATAACAGATGAAGTCTGGTGCCCGAAACTTAGTATGAACAGCAAATCAAATGATTCTGAATTATTAGGAATTTTATTGCTATGGCTTATAAACAGCTTTGTCCACCATTTCGGGTTTGCAAAGCGAAATGCAATGATTTCTAGGCAAGTTCTGCTGTTGAAGTCGACACTTGTGTTCACTCCCTCACCCCTCTGAGTGCTCATCTAACACATTTCACTTCAGCTAAAGTAAGACGGCATTGGGAATTCCCTCGAGGGGAAATGAAGATGCGAAATTAACGAGTTCATGTTTGAAACGGGTGGTTAGTTTTTCGCTAACGGGTAACACACAGCATGGAAAAGTTAACAGGATCGTTTGACCAAAATGCACCACCCCTTTAATTTAATAATAATGCCTGACCTGAGCCAGAAAAAAATGTTATTCATCTATTGCTGCTACTGTGCTTCTCCACTTGTGTGTGCTTGCCAGCACTTTGGGTCTCTTTTGAATTCTCAGTGAAGACATGCATGTAGACTTTCGCATGTCCATCATCTTTTGTGTTACAGTCAAGTCCTTTAAAAACTTGCTGACTGAGCTGCTCTGGACTCCTTATTTCTGGGGTGACAGGAGTCACTCTTCTTGATTGCTCATTCTAGAGAACAGAAAGTCTGCACACATAATACTGGTAAACGTAGAACTAGTGCAAATCTACCCAAATAATGCCTGGCTGGATCTTTTGATTATAAAGCTGAAGCAAATATTATTACTTTACAGAACCCCGTTCACATGTAGTCTCTTAGTTTTAGGTTATTCATAAATTACCTATTCTTATATTGTTCCTGGCACATCAAAGAAAACTGACAAGGCTCTTCACAGTAGTATATTTTTGGAGATTGTAAGGCTTCAGATCAAACGCTCAGGCACTGAGGAGCCGAGACAGAGCTTCTTACTGCCTCCAAAAAAAGATAAAAATATGCCAGGGAGGCTTTTGTTAATGTGGGTCATAGCGCACACGTTTCAGATTAGAACACCAAAGACACAGATTGTCCTAGAAAAGCAATGATTCACTTTCTCAAGGCAAAATAACGCAGTTAAGGCAGGTCATTTTCTTAAGTTCATAACCAACATTGAGCTAGAATATGACAATAAACAAAGATGTATAAAACCTTTCGTCCAAATAAGCACCAACACTGAAACTAGAGCACTACAAAGACTGATTACGCTGTTCTCTCAGAATGCAGGGACAGCTGATGTAAAGGCTTTGCAATAAAGCGTAGAAAACAGTGAGTTCGGAATGGTAAGAGTCTGTCGTTTGGTGTGATCTTAATGTCGGCTCTAGAGTTTTGTCGCCATTCTAGAGCTGTCCTCCTTCCACCTGCTTCAGGATGTACAGGATTCCAATGTTGTCAATGGTGACGAATGTTTTGAAGTCAGGTGAGACGTGGATGCGCTTCAGATTGGCTCCTGTGGTGTAGAACGTCTGCAGGGCTTCTCCTCTCTCCACGCTCCACCACTGCAACAGAGAAAGGAAAAAACGTACAGGTTATACAGGGTTTTTACTGGTAAAACACACAGCAGTTTTAATTAATTTTCATGGCTTCCTAAGAATTTTAATTTGTCTTTTTTAAAGATTCTGATTACTTAAATCAATTGTCAAAAGATCAGTTGATTACTTATATAACTAATAGTGACAGCTCTACAAGCCATTAGCTATAAAAAGCGGAGACGAGCGCAGGAGCACACACAGAGGAGCGCTCTTCAGGGGGAAGTCTTAATATGGCAGTTTCACAAGCAATAACACTTGAGCTTTGTTGTCAAGAAAGAATTATTCTCGGACTGGGTGCCAGACTGTTATGTCACTGTTGGCTGCACTACCTACCCCACCTGTCCATGGAGGAAGAAGGGCTGCTTGTATCAAACCATCTGGCACCCAAGCGTAATATTCTAACAAACAGGCAAAGGATTTCAGCTACATTTTCTCAGGCTTATTTGTGAGGCAGAGCTTCTTGTAAAAAAAAAAAGAGAGAGAGAAACAAAAAGAAAAACGTGTTAATAGAACCGTCATTGGCGCATGTAAAGAGAACGCCAGTCCTGTAGGTAGGAAGTGGCCCAATATAATCCACTCCAAGCTCCAAACTAGTTTGTGAAATTCTCATTACTCTGAGGAAAAGGAGGCCACTGCACAGCGAGCAGCCAAAGCATCAGCGACAAGAACTGATGCTTTTAACCACATGTTTGTTTTCTTACAACCACCACATGCACATCCAACAGATTCATTAATCATACAAAGCTTTGAGTGAATAAATGTGTCTCATTTGCATTTTAGCAGATAGTGGCCAGAGCGAGCGCAGAGCTGCAGTGTGAGACCGTTTAAACAGCAGACCCATCTACAGTATCTCCAGTGAGGACTCCGGTGAAGATACAACAGCACACTCACACACCCACACACATCCACCTTAACACTCAGCAGCTGCTGCAGAAAACCTCCACTGTCTATCTGTTACCTGTAAGATCAGTTTAAAATCACTCTGCAACAAGAGCCAGAGATATGGTACGAAACAGAGTTAAATTAATCGAGGGAAAAAATCTATTTAACCATTAACTTCTGTTCAAAATTAAGAAAGTTTTTTCCTAGGTCCTGTAAAGTTACCATTTCGGAATACAAGGTTTTGTTGCGACAGCGACGATATGTTAGTTTTAGTTATACCTGGTCGATAGGGCAATGAATTTCAATGATGGTAGTGACTGACAAGTTAGCCAATGACAATGAAGACGATAACCATGTTGGGCAAGAACACTGACAGAGAACACTGACATTTTTTTCTGCATATTTTAGTGCACAATTTTGTAAAATACAAAATATGTGATATTTTGCACAGGCCATATGTTTTATTTTTTCCAATGTTAAATTCAGCAAATAAACAGTAACAATACATTAAAATGTGTTCTCTGAAGAGGCTGTGTAACTTGATTTAGAAAATCAACATAACATGTCATTTGACCAGGGACAACCAAATGTTTGCATACAGCTTAACACTTACATTAGCTTCTTGTTACCTACTTTAGCTTCTTAGCTCCAGTACAAAAGTAAAGAAGGAAACTTCAGACAGCAAACATGTCCTGGCTGATGGACTACATTTGGTGTAAGGGGGGATAACTGTGTGAAACTATTTCTTCAAGAAGTAAAATGCAGGACAGCGTTGAGAAGCCTTGCTGAACTCTGCTCTGCTGCAGCCTATAAAGGTCACCCAGTCGCGCACACGCAGATGGTGGCAGAAGCAGTGAGTAATGGCTGATGGTCTGCTGTGTAGAGAGCTCATATGAGAAACAGCCAGCTGCTGCCTTCAGCACAAGCACTGTGAGGACACATAGCACATCTGTCTGCACCCGCGTCCACCACAGCAGCTCAGTCGTTATAACTGCAACATACAGCTGCATGCAGCAAAGAGTGCAAAACAACCCCACCCCAGCGTGATTAACACAGTGATTTATATATAGGCGGCACAACAGAACATTACGCGCAGTAAATCTAGCAGAGGCGCTCTTATGCAGTCTAAAAAACATCATGAAACAAGGCCAACTTCAATTATTCAACTTGTGAAAGGCAGATCTCCCCCCAATCCACAACCATCCCCCGACCCCCCCACTGTGCACCCTGCGTCTCTCTGATTCTGTCTGCGGCCACAGAGCAGCTGGTGGTTGCATTGCATACCAGCTTTCAAAAAATAAATACATAAATAAATAAATAAACGAGCCCATCTCATCTCTGTTTTAAAAGTAACTGCACTGGTCTCCTGTATTTGAAGTGCTATGACTGTTTTTTAAAACTTGTGCATCTCATTGAATATCTGTCTGTTTACGATCCAGCACATGATCTAATATCTTGTAAAAACCAGGAAAAGTGGCGATGCCTCTTAAACCATTAAAGCAATTAAACGTGATTGTGTAGCTAATTGCGATTAATAGCTTTGGCCTTATTTGCTTAAACCTGATCCTAAAGAAAGATTTTTTTTCCCATTTAAAAAGCATTGCATGTTCTTACAGCTGTAAGAGTGGACAAAATACACCTAGTCAGAATGTATTTATTACTTTCAATAATTCAAATTGAATTAATCATAGTTCCATTACGTTTCATGAAAATGAAAGATGTGATTTCCATTTAGTGATCACCGTTTCCAATGGTAAGTGGACCTGATAAGATGGTTAATGAGCACATATATAAGCTAGCTGTACCTAATAAAGAGCTCTGTGTAAAAGCAGAGCTGAGCTGGGATGTAAAGCAGTCTGTGGAAGCACAGAGAGACGTGTGTGGCCATGAGTGTGCTCTGTCTCCATTAAGCGCTATGGCACGCTCACAGGAGAGCACATTCCTTTGGGAGAAAGGCACAAAAGAGAAGAGAGAGCGACCTTGCTCCAGTGTACACATCAATCACGCCATCCAATCAGAGTAATGCGGCGCAACGTCTTAACAGCAAGACTCAATGGCGAAATGGTGAGAGCTGAAGGTGAGAGAAAGCCATAAAGACTCAGAGCTTCAGGAACACACGCAAGACAGCAACGACGGAAAGCACAGAAATCACAGTGTTTGTTCTGATAACTGAAAAATGAAGGTTTTGTAGCAGGCGCTGCGAGAGACCGGCTTTATGAAAGGAGCCCCTGGCAGCTTCTCATCGCTCATAAAGAGATGAATTGAGAAAAAGGTAGGAGAAAATGGAGGACAGGTACTAGGTGAGTCTGCAAGATAAAGACAAGAGCTCAAAATGGTCCCCTAATCACTACTGCCTACAGTGGAAATCTGGAGCACTTTATAGAACAGAAGGTTCAGCAAAGGGACAAATAACGTTCATGCTGCTTTACTCTTCGAGTGACAGGAGCCAATCAAATGTCACCACCATGAATAATTACCACAACAATTTTCCGCCAAACACACGGTTAGTAGACTGACTAATCAGAAGACTTTTATTATACATAAGGATGTATATAAAGAGAAGAAATCAAACAAAAACAACTTGTGTTGTATTTTAAAAGACGATTGACGTGCCAATAAAAAACAACTGTTAAGGCTTTCTTTTACAGTCTAGGTAAGCTCTAGGCACTAAACTGGTAAGTGTCAGGAACATACTCTGAAGTCCTGGATAATTATTAGTGGGTAACATGATGACGAGTTCCACAGCAGTCTAACATATACAGTATAAAAGTTTGGACACAAATAAAGCAGTGTTTATATAGTATGGACTTGTTTATTACTTATGAAGATCGACAGAACTGAATCTGGGCTATAGAAGAGAGACGTTACTCTTACTGTGATTATATTGGGTCTTTATCATTTACTTTACTGCTTGAACATGTGGAATTACAGTGAAATTTATTGTGATGATGTTTGTACCAACTTATTGCTCCAAATATGTATGAGGTATTTTAATATGTCCTTTATCAGTTTATTGGTTTATTAGCTAAAACCTGTTACTCATTCCAGTGTGGTTTAGTTAATCTGTATTACAACCCAATGCAACCCAAAATAAGTAATGAGTATTACTTTGGAGTGTGTACCTTACACCTTCCTGCTAAATATCTACAATTTATGGGACTGTAAAAGAAAGCATTATATTAATACTAAATTACTTTAATTAAATGATAAAGTGGGTTTGAAATAATGCCTGAACAGGCCTGTGAGACACATTTTTAAAGCCTTTGTGGTTTATTATGATAATTTGAATGACATTTCTAAGAATCAACATGCCATGAACACTACGGCATTTAACAGTTATCAGTGTATTTAATCCCAGATATTTCATTACAGGCCTAATTGTGTGATTATGTACCAGCGTTAGGCTACCAGTGGTACCTTATAGATGCCACTGTGAATTTTACTGCATTGCCATTTCATTATATGTATAAGAATAAAATAGTTTTTCATAAACCTAAGGGACTGTCTCACTTTTTTAAATGCACTTTTTTACAGAATTTACAGAATTTATGATTAGTAACCAGTCTTGTTCCTATATTTACATGGGTTTGTTCATCACTAAACAGTAGTCGCATTTAATCCTATGAGATGCTGCATTACGAGTACTCAGTTTCCATAAGGGTACACCAGTTGTACACTGTCTATTGCATGGTATTGGGAATTGAAAGCGTGCACTGTACATTCTCCACTACAAAGATACAGACTCCCCTGTTTACTATATAGTGAATAGGACACAGTTTTGACCACAGCCAATCATTCTTTGATACAAGCCTGGAAGAAATCACACCCTGGAGAAGAGATGCAGTCTAGACAGGGTTCACACAACAGATGAGAGAGAGAGCTGAGACTTAAGGGAGTGAGGGAAGGAGGGAGGGGTCAGTATCAAAGGATTAATGACCAAACAGCTAGTGCACGAAAAAATAAAGGTTTGGAGAAAGGTCTGCCTGGTCTGTACTTTAAAACCTCAAAAGAACTGGACTGCAATGAGCCAAACAATACTGGCCTCAGCTGACCTGAAAGACCATTTTTATTTCATTGTTTGACTC